AAATTTATGACTAGTTAAATTATTGAAATTCCAATTAGTAATTACAATATTTATTTATCTCACTGCTGAAAACACTGCTGTAGCAAAAGCGTTAAAAAACTATTTTTAGGAGTATTCTGTTCTAGAATTTTAAAAATCGATTTTGTTTTTTTAACATTCTCAAGGTTTATCCAAAAATTTCTATACAGGAGATTTTTAGGGATATAGCTTTTGACATTATAATTGTGTTTTACTCGAAACAGTGTTTTTCAATGCGATACCCACGATTTCTCTATTTTTACTGGAACACTTTATTTCATTTTTTACAGAGTTTTTTTCATAGACTCCTCTTCAGTATGAACTCGACTCATCCTCAAATTGCGATTTTTACTATTTTCAACAATTGCGAAAGTTAGGAAAAAGTTGAAAAAAATATTTTTTTCAAATAGTCCATAGTTTGTGAAACCTGTCATATGATTGCGACCTTATTCTATATTAATAACTTATCGTTTAGCTTATTTGGAAGGCTAAAATTTGGGTATGGTCAGGTGTCAATTTTTTGTGACTCCACACTTCCTCACCTTCTAAATTTAAAATTTTGACAATTTTTCTTTATATTATATATATATATATATATATATATATATATATATATTATACATATTATTTACTAATGTAAATGTATTGCAAAAATATTGTTTACCCTTGTTTACGGTCTTTTAAAAAACGCATAAAATTGCCCTAAACCACAATACCCAAACCTTATAATACATGTATTATAAGGTCTATGAGAATACCCATTATATGATTTTGCAAATAACTTTGTTATTGCGTTGCCAAGCAACATGCAGTACCTAATATCAAAACGCGGACCTGTTGATATTATTAATAATTTCCCACAATGTCGTTTTTTCGTGCAATTATAAAAGCAAGTTTACTCGAGAGAAAACTATTGCGTTATCAAGAAGAGAAGAAAGTAGCCCTCAACGATTACCTTAAAGGTAGAAAACGCAGACGTGCGAAAATACCCCCAAAGTTTAATTCAATCGAGCAGCAATTTGCTGGAGCGTCATTATGGCGCAGAATGCGAAAAGATGGAACCTTTGCAAATGCTGTGATGAAGAGCTTCTTTGGATTCTGTGGAGGCTTTGTATTGACTTACATTTTCTTCGTATTTTTTGTTTTCCAACTGAATTTTACCATGTGGAGTGCAACCTGCTTGGCTTCAGTGGTAGGGTGTATTTTAACCCTGGCTTGGCATTTAGTAAACGTGTGCGATGTATGGTTTTCTGTTGCTGCCTCAGTTTTTTAGTAAAAGAGGACGCCAAGCCTTGGCTGCTTATGCCTTTATATTAGCTTTGACAGGACCAGCAAAAACACTTTACACAACACGAATGTTTTATCGGAGTCATTAGCTTGTGGGCAAGAACAACTCAAATCAGCAGCAAGAGAAGTAATAAATATAATCAAAAAACCATACTACGCCATCAAGAATGCTATCAAAAAGCTTGCAAGCATTATATCAAAAATTATTGAAAAATTGCGAGCAGCCTTCACTGCCTTGAAAAAAATAATAATGGGCATTTTAGGGGTTATCAAATCTGCGTTTCAATGGCTTGGCAGTGTGGTGAATATTTGTAACAAGAAATTTGGAACACCTTTTCAAAGATGTATGAACGTTTTTGATGATGCAATCGTGGATTGTAAAGCTAAATTAGGAAGTGTTTTCGGTTGGATGTGTTCTGTGGCGTATGTTGCAAGTGCACTCTGCTACACGGTGAAATTTTTGGGTAAGTACCAAATAACTGGTAAGTACTATGTAATAAGGTATCAATTTCATGATTGAATTTCTTAGCAATGCCCTCATACCATTCCTGCGTCAGAAATATATTTACTTATTCATATATTATTATGATCATATCCTGAGTAAATACTTTGACATTTACATCCATTACATGCTCAAGAGTATTTGACCTTTAAATCCATTACATGTTCATTCAGAAGTAATATTGAAACAAAGCCTCCAGATGTGATGTGAATAGAATGTATTATAAATTAGGATAATGTGAGTTATTAAGTAAAATAAGTAAAACCTTTATTGAAATTGATTAATTCAAACAGTAAATCAATATAAATATAAAAGGTTTTCATTCATCTATATTTTAAAATCTGAGACGCCTTATATATCTAGTAAAGTACTTCATAAAGTTGTATGCAAGAACTTGTAGATGCATATTTTATAAATCCTACGTTTTATCAAGAAAGTTCTTTTCTTTTGGGAATACCAGATGACATTAAATTTAAATTAGTGTCGTAAGTATAGACAGTTTGATATTATTTTCAGGAATTATTTGAATTGATTCGCGATTCACATTTGGCACAGTTGTC